AACCGAATTTTGGAAACAGACCCAAGTGGTTCGGAGCCAAGTCTGGTGGAGATGTTGATTTTGACTAGAGAATAGATGAATTTATCTATCATCCTCTATCTATCTATTTATTCATTCATTTATTTGTTTGCCTCATTTAACCAAGAAACTCAGCCCTTGGGCTGGTCAGTGTGTGTGTGTGTGTGTGTGTGTGTGTGTGTGTGTGTGTGTGTGTGTCTGTGTGTGTGTATGTTTCTGAAAACTTTTTTCTTTATTGTTTTACAAAGTACCATGAACGTCTCTCCCGTGCACATGGGTGAAAATTCCCTACTGAAATAGAACATTGTATAGTTGAATCAAAAGTCTGCTGGTAACAAAAGGTGATGGACACAGTAAAATATCAGCTTAAGGTTAAAGCACACCACCTGGCAAATGCCCCCTGTGGAAAGCAGGGTTAGACTATTCTCAGCAGAGAAATCAGAATTGAAGTCTAAAGAATTGAAGTCTAAATTTAAAGATACGGGATATCTTGTAAGCCCCTTTGGCCCCTACCTCCACCCCTCACTCCCCTGATGCTCCGTTGGCCCCTTGGGATGAATGGATCCTGTACATCTCTTTGCATCCAATGAAAGCCACCTGTTCTGCTGGTTCCTTAGCTCTTCCAGAACCCTTAACACATCTCCACATTCTCTCAGCACCTTCTGACTTTCCCTCTCTTTCCAGCTTTCCTTCATTTCCATTGTAGAGCTTTTCCATGCTGAGAGGTCCCCTCCTTCTTCTGTCCTGCAGGGATTCTGCACAGGTTCCTCCTCCTCTTCGAGCCTTGCAGAGTGCTGGGGACAGACACGCAGACCTGCGGACTGGGCCAGGCCTGTGCCTCCTTGGCCATGTGAAGCCTGCTCGCTCCTTGCCTGCTGGGACAGCTCAGGGAGCTGCTACCACATGGGCAACTGTAGCCAGTGCTGGTTAGAAAGGCAATTTCCTTATGTGGACTGGAAACTGTTTACAGAGAGGAGTCCCATAAATGTTCTGTCCTCTCCAGCTTCGTGGAAATAGATGCACAGTTTACTATAGTACACTAGTCAGGATTGTTTTGACTACAAGTGACAAAAGTCAACATCAAGTTCCTTAAATGAAAAATAAGAAAAGTTTATTGGCCTCAAAGCCAGGAAGGTCACTGAAAGAGCTCACAAAATAGAGGAAGAGCTGCAGAACTAGGGCCCCAGGGGCTGGAATTTAGGATTGTCTGCCTCGCATTCTCCCCCTCACCAGGTGTCTCTGCCTCTCCTTTCATGTAGATGGCTTTTTCCTCCAGAAAGACCTTCCCAGTGGGCAGGAAACATGGTGTCCACAGGCTCCAGGTTAGTAATTCCAGTTCCATCTATAAATCTCAGGGAAGGTCTCTGATTGGCCCTGCTTAGGTCCCACTCCACCCCCTGAGCCAACCACCCCAGCAAGAGGGATGCAGTTCTAAGACTGGCTGGGAGCTGAGTCACCTATCCACTCCTAGGGGGTGTGTGTGTGTGTCCGTTGTTACCAAAATAAGGAAACGAGAAAGAAAGCTCGAAGGCTACATTGAATTACCAGAAGGACAGTGCTGCCTGGGATGTACTAAGAACCCACGTGGTCTCCAAAATTCTCCAGGAGCCTAGAATCTAGTTTGGGAGACGAGACACAGAAATAACCAGAAGGCAACAGCTTGCAGTGACTCGAAGGCTGGATAAGAATAGCTGGAACTCCCCACCCACTTTATAAGCTTGTTTCTTGGGTAAAAATTAGACACTTAATGTGAAAGGGCTTTGAAAAAGATAGCAGTCACAAAGCCCTTTACAGATCACCTGGCACATCCACACCCACCTTGGGGACAAAGCATGGGCTTTGGGGTGAGACTGCCTCAGCTTCCTGAGCTACAAAATGGGACTGATACTAGCTCCTACCTCAAAGGGTTGTTGGGGAATTGGGGGACATGGGTGTGGGGCGCTCAGCAGAGTGGCATAAAGTAGGTGCTCAGTGCATGTAAGGTATTATTATAACTTTTGCATATTGTTACCTGAGCATCTTCAAATGTGTAAAGGGTAGACATGGCGAGTCTAACATCCCCACTTTAAAATGAGGACACAGAGAAGTAAAGGACTTGTCTCGTACTTAGTCCTGCTGGTGATGGCAGAGCTAGGGGAGGCCCAGCACTCTATTTCCAAGGTTTGCATTCCAAAAGGGTCAGGCCTAAGAGAGCCTTGAGTGCCAGGTGGAGGTGTAGAAGACAGCAGTGTTCATGGAGAAGTGGCATGTCCTCTGGGGTCAGCCAGTGCCTTGCGGATGGGCAAGCCCTCTGCAGGACTCCATTCCCGCTGGGGCTAGAACGTTATGGAGGTAGGAAGTAAGTGGGGCTTATCACCCCAAGCTTTCCTCTGCCATCTGACACTCATGCCTCCTCCTCAGGTACCTGGCCCCCACCCCAGAGCTTCTCTTCTGTGCGCTTGTTTACCGGACCCATGCAGTCTCCTCTATAAATACCAGCTCTGGTATTTCTGGTTGGCAGCTGTTGCTGCCAGAGAGATGGCTGGGTTGACATGCGGCTCGTGACAAAACACAAACCCCTGGTGTGTGTAGGCGTGGGTGGTGTGGGTAGGGGGATGAATCAGAGAGGAGTAGAGTGGACACCGAGGGGACAGAAGCCAGGTGAAGTTGGTGGTATGGGGGTGAGAGTATATTTAGCCACTGGAAACTGAAAGCACACCAGGCCTTTCCGTGAAACCACCCTGTTGCTGATAAACTTGAGGCCCCGTCCTCATCAGTAGGTGGGGAGGAAAAGGGCCTATGCTAGTCTAGGGGGAAACTGAGGCTCAGAGCTAGAACCCAGGTGCCAATGGACATACCTGAGCAGGCCAGCCCTGGCCATGGTGGCTCACTTCTTCTATCTAGGTGTGGCCGGTGGGCTCCTGATGGTTGCCTGAGCCCTTCCAAACCTCTGCCACTTCCAGAGACTCTTTAGAAAAAAAGGTGACTTGGAGCCTTTCTTGGGAACAGGCCTGGTCCCTTCAGGAAATGACCAAAGTGTCACCTGGGAACCCAAAGGAGACCCTCAAACTAAAGGGCAGCCTCTCCCGAGCTCTCTCCCCTGACTACAGGCAGTGCGAGGTAGGCCCCCCAAGGTTGAAAGGGGCCTGCCTGGGGGTTCCGGACATGCCTGCTGCCCTGTGGAAGCTGCTGCGGGACGGCCCATGCGCCCTCCTGGGCTGATCAGCCTCTCCCACAGCCCTCACGAGCCCCCCACCAGCCGGCCGAGGGGCGCAGGCCTCTTGGGGGGGGGACTGGCCTCCCCGCCCCCGCGCCAGCGGCCGCCCTTTCCTGGCAGGACAGCCGGATCCTGCAGCTGTCAGGGGAGGGGCGGCGGGGGCTGATGTCAGGAGGGATACAAATAGTGCCGACGCCGGGGCCCCGTGTCCCCTCCGCCTCCAGCTCTCCGGCCGGCCGCCTGCCC